TTGCCCAGACCTGTGCTGTCTGCCAGGGACGGGGGGCTCCCTGCCTACTCGCCCCCCCCCCCCTGCAGAGGCTGTTCTGCAAGGGCAGTGCTCCTTTCAGCCGGATTTCCATGACACGCAGGCCCTTGGAGCACGGGCAATGCTCCGCTCCCCTTGGGGGAGCTGGCAGCTGCTGGGGGCAGGGGGAATGGAGCACCTCAGCCACTGGGTCAAAGGGGTCTGGTTCTGCCCCTTCAAAAACACAACAACTCGGAGGCCGCAGACTCTGAGTCACAGCCCCTATTTATAGCTGCTGGAAGGGAGCCAGCAGGAAGGGAGAGATTTGCATGAGCACCCGTGTCTTTTGCACAACAGGGTGAAGCCATGCGCGCCTCTTGCGTAGTAACAGCCAGTTTGGGCCTGTTAAATCTGGAATCGGTTGAAGCAGATGAATCAGGCGGTGCTTTCACAGAGGGAGGAGAGAGCGATGGGGAAGTGGAGGGGGGAGCTGTGGCTCTGCCTCCCTGCCCAGCGCGAACCCTCTGCTCTTGCACCCTGCTCTCCCAGGGCCTCTTTGGGGCACGGCTTCTCCTTGGCACCTTCCCCCCCGAGGGCTCTTCAGTGGAGGCTGTTCTGGGTGCTCAGGGCATGGGTGCAGCCCGCCTGAGTGAGCCTGGCTGGGGACAAGGGAGTGGAGTCCTGAGCCCTGCCCGCCGCGGGTAGTTTCTCAGCCCCAGCCTTGCCTGTTCCCTGGCAGCAGGGATCACCACGCTCCCCGGGCTCTGCCTCTCCTTCTCCAGAGCAGGCAGCAGGGGGTGATATAGAAAACGGGGAGAGCCCTTGCTCGGATCGCAGTCAGCCGGGGAGGCGATGCCCCTCCCTTTGACAGGAGACCCCGTCCGCCAGGGCCCGTAGCTGCTGCCCTGGACCAAAGGCAGGCCGCCTTAGCAGAGCCAGAACGGGTTGGGGGGGCAGCCAGGGCGGGGGCTGGGCACTGGCTAGGAGGCTTCTAGTGTCTGACGGGGCCGGCCTGCTTGTCTTCCAGTGGGTCTTTATAGCTCCATCTTTGGAGTCCTGCAGCTGCTCTGCCTCCTGACGGCTCCGGTGATCGGGTACATCATGGACTGGAAGCTGCAGGAGTGTGACGATGGCCCTGAAGAGACGGACAAAGGAGATGGCAGCCCCCCGTACGTGGCTTGTGGGGGGGGGAGCTGCGGTGCCCCTGCCAGCCACATGCCGAATCCATGTTCCTTTTCCCCCAGAGAAGTTTTTGAAGGGGGGTGCTGTTTCCCACGCCTCCTTGGCAGGGCAGGACGCCAGAACTGCTGCAGGGAAGGGGTGTGCCTGAAACGGGGAGGCTGCCATGCAAGTGGGTCACTGGGCCACGAACCCAGCGTTGGCACTGTTGTGGGTGGCCTTGTTTGTGGCAGACCTTGTCCACCTGGACCAGGAGCAGCCTGGAAGTAGGGAAAGGGTCACCTGGAGCTGGTTGGCACGGGGGCACTGGGCAGGGAAGGAGCCCGGGGGATCCTCCCGCCATGCCAGGGCCAGGCTGCTCTCAGGATCTGAGCCCTGCCTGGGGAGACCCTCCTTGGCCCTGTGTGCCTGATACTCGGGCAGCCTGGGTTACAGTTCCTCGCTGCCCGCAGGGGTGGGAAGAAGAAACCTCGCGACCGCCAGATCCAGAAGATCTCCAACGCCACCCGGGCTTTCGCTTTCACCAATGTGCTGCTTGTGGGGTTTGGGGTCACTTGCCTGATCCCCAACTTGCCTTTACAGGTGAATGATGTGGGGGTAGGCAAAGGGGAGCCAGCTGGAATGGGCTTGCTAAGACCCCAAGGAACATCCTCTCAACGGCTCCTGGGCGTGTTTTGAGGAAGGATAGCTGACGGGTGTGCCCACAAGAGGCCCCCTTGACCCTGTGGGAGGAGGGGTCCTGGCTCTGCTGCAAGGTCTGGGGGAAGGTTGGCAGGTCCTGGGGGTGCCTGCAGCGGCCCCTAGCAGGGGGTTCCCTGGCCCTGAAGGCGGTCTCCCTGCTCTCTGTTCCAGATCCTTTCCTTCATCTTGCACACTGTCGTCAGAGGCTTCATCCACTCGGCTGTCGGGGGTCTCTATGCTGCTGTGTAAGTCCAGCGCCTCCTCAGGAGGGCCCCAAGGCTGCCCATTTCAAACTGGGTCACTCCCGTTTCACCACTTGATTTCTGGGTCATGTTTTCCTTCTCCCTGGATTATCTGATTAGTGGCTGTGCCCCTGGATGTTGGCTGGCACCTCTGGGTGTTGCTCCGGTGTGGGTGGTGAACACCCCCACATGCCGCCCTTGCGGTCTAATACAGGCTGAGGTCAGCTCTGGCCACGGCTGCGTCCCTTTTGGAGCAAACCAATTTCCTAATGCCCTGAACCCTCCCACTAGAGAGATGTTGTTCTGAAGGCCCCCGCCAAGGGCACGTCTGCATCCCGGCCTGGAGAGTTTCTCCAGGCCCAAGGGACAAGATCCTGGGGTTTCGCTCCCCCCCTTTTCTGGTTTGCCAGCCTGGCTGGCCATCTCACTCGCGCACGCGCACACACACGCACACGCAGGCAGGCAGGCCCTGGATCTGGCTGCAGCTGCTGGGACTTGCCAGGGCTGACTCACATGTTTTTGCTCTGCTTAGCTGCTTGTTGTTTTGGAAAGGGACGTTACGGATTGTGTATCACGGAGGGCGCTCGGTGCAATCCTGAGTGTTGCTCAACCTGGGAGGAGGCCAAGCCAAGTCTTATCTGCTTCCCAGGCTCCTGTTTTGCACCAGCAGCCTTCAGCACTCAGCACTTTGTAATCAGGGATCATGTTCCACCAGCCCAGGGAACTTGTTTGTCCTCCAACCCTTCCGGGTTCCTCTGGGCCAAGGCAGGCTTTGAGAAGACTCCCTGGATCGGCCTTCCGGGGGGGCTGGCTGAGACCTTTTATGCGGGCTGAAGCCAGCAGCAGGCCTTGGCGGCCGCCGGCTCACCCACTTTCTCATTTGCAGAGAGACCAGATCCTCCCCTGTGGCTCTTGCCCCCACCCTGTGGGCAGCTGGGCTGAGGGAGGGTCTCCAGTTCAGCAGCTGCAGACATGCGGGTCATCTGCCCCTTCCCTCCCCCAGGTATCCCTCCACGCAGTTTGGCAGTTTGACTGGGCTGCAGTCTCTCGTCAGCGCCCTCTTTGCCCTCCTGCAACAGCCCCTTTTCCTGGCCATGATGGGCCCCCTGGAAGGAGACCCCCTTTGGGTAAGTGCTGCCATCTTGGCTGCTCAGTTCAAGGAAGCCGAGGACCGGCAGCCCAGGCTGATGAGGTGCATGTGAGAAGAGGGTGGGGGAGTAAGTCAGGCATGGCAGTGCCAGTCCTTGGTCAAGGGATCAGGGCCAAGGAGCGGATGGTTGCAGCCCAAGGGGAGTCGGCGTGCCCACGGTCAGGTCTCACCATCCCTCAGGTAGCCAGTCCCTATGCCATGAAGGGCTTTGGGGTTGGGGGGGTGCACGTAACAGAGTGGGCCCAGTCCAGGGGCTCGATCTTCTCCGGGGGCCAGGCATGTTCCCAAGCCACCAAAGCACGTCCCCGAGGTGATGTGCTTTGGATGTTCTGGCTGAGAATTAGGAGTTCCCGTCCTGTCACCTGGCGGGCACCAGCGAGGGAAGCCTACCAGGTGCGCGTGAGTAGATCTGGTGGACAGAATCCCCTTTGCTTGATGCCTGGAGACTTTTAGCCTTGAAGTGGAGCTGCCTTGGAGCCCCGTGGACCAAGGACTGTCCAGGACGCTGCCTGGGGTTGGGAAGCCGCGGAGGCCTCTTGGATCTGCTCCCGGACCACATGGCTTTGTTTGTGCAGCGAGGGCTGGCTGGCTGGCTGGCCGCCGTTCCCGTTGGGCTCGCTTTGCAGCCACAACAGGGCACATGTGGAGCAGAAGGCCACGTCCAGGCGTCTCGTGAGCCGCTGCCTTGGCAAGGATCTCCTGCCTTTGTTTCGGCCTCCAGGAGGGGCAAACGTTTAAGGGACCTTTGGGGCAGAAACTGGTGTTCCCAGCTGTAGTTCTGCCTTTGGTGCCCAGTCATTCTCTCTCCCTTCGAGGCCTGGGGAAGACCTGCCTGGTGATGGCAGGGCGGTAGGGAGTTAAGGGGTTCCTACGAGCCCCTCTCCCCTTCCACAGGGGGCACAGGAAAAGAAGCGCCTGTCTTTCTAAGCTCGAAGGGAGGGGAAATGGCCTGGCTGTGGGTGGAGTCGTGGGGCTCCATCGCGAGCAAAGGACGGGCAGCCGCTGGTGGGGCTCGGTCGGAGGGTTCCTGTCCTGGGCAGGGAGTTGGACTCAAAGACCTCCCAGGTCCCTTCCAACCAGTTCCGGGGGAGAAGGCCGAGGGCAGGAAGCTTCCTCTCCTGGGGCCGCTTCCTTTCTCCTCCAGAGCTGAGGTGGAACAGTCATAAAAGGCGCGTGGTGGCCGCTTTCTGGGTGATGGCGTCAGCCCGGCCCTCTCGTAGCGAGGAGCTGCTGGACCTGGGCCGGTGCGGTCAAGGCCCCCTCCGCCTCTCCTCCTGGGACAGCTGCGCCCCCGGGAGAGTCACGCCTGGCCTTGCAAGGGGGACCGCAGGCAGCAGGTTGGCACTCTGGGTCAGCACGCAGCGTGGCTCAGAGGCTGCTTGCGCGGCCCCGTGTCCTGGGACGCTGCCGAGAGCAAGGGAGGGGAGGGGGCCTTCAAGTGCAGGAGAGCTGCAGGGCGAGCTGAAGGCAGGTCTGCTCTGACACTGGAGGCTGGAGCGAGGGCGGTCAAGTGGCCTTTTCCTCCACAAACCGGGCTGCATTTCCGGCAAAGGTGCAGCTTCCCGTGCTGGAGAGGGAAGCTGGTAGCCCTGGCCCTCACCTGCTCCCCTCTCTCCCACCAGGTCAATGTGGGGCTGCTGGGGGTGAGCATGCTGGGCTTCTGCTTGCCTCTCTACCTCATCTGGTACAAGCGGCATCTGGAGCAGGAGAAGCAGCAGAAGGATGACGATGCCAAGCTCTTCCTCAAGATCAACGGCACACCCAGCCAGGAAGCCTTTGTCTAGACACTTCTTCTGGACTGTGGGCCCTTGCCGCTGGGGAGGGGGCTGGCTAGAGGCCCTGGTCTTCCTCTGGTGCTGCCTGCAGCTCCCCCATTCCCCCCCCCCCGAGGTCCCAGAGAAGCCTCCCAAGACCCTCAGATCTCATGGGCCTTGCTTTGGATTTAAAAGCCACGCCACGATGCCTCTTCCGTAGCACCACCCAGCTTGCGGCCCTCCCTGTGCCCGTGGTCTCTCTGGTGCTGGCCTCAGAGGCACCTAATTCAATACGGGCCTTGGTTGCTTTGCAAAGGGAATGGGCCCCTCCCCCCTTTCTAACCCTTCCTGGCACGCACATGCACACGACACCCAGGCGGTAGCTTGGCTCATGTCTGTGCAGGACACAGACTCCAGCCTTGCTCCCCACCCACCCTGCTCTCCCATTCTGGGATGGGGGCCCTGGTCATCTGGCAGGAGCCTGCTGGTCACACTGGCTCCAACGCCACTGGCAGAGGAGGGGAAGGCGAGCACCCCGTCTGCCTGCGTCTTGCACCTGTTCTGGGCAGGGAAGATGGGAGGATGTGGCCACCCCACCTCCCCCCTCTCTGCAGCCAGTTCGACAAATGCTAGGGGATGCAAAGCGTCTTCTCCCTCACATCTGACTTTTCATAGCATGACTGAAGAGTGCAGGCTTTGCACTGGGTCATGCAGGCGTCTTGGCTTCAGCAGGAATTGGCCCCAAAGTCTCAAGCTTTAACTGGCCTGGCAGACTGTAAGGCAAGAAGATTGGCACGAATCTCGCCCCCAAAGGAGCAGGGAGCCATAGAGGAGGGCAGCCCGGCTCCCAAACTATCCTTTTGTTGCACGGAAGAGCCTGGGCTGGAGGTGTCTTGCAGGGAGCTCCCGGCCTCTGGAGCGCTGCTGGACACCCCTGCCCCCTCAGGCAAAAGGGAAAGTCTGGGGTGCAGTGGCAGCCATCACCCACCGATTGGCTCTGGCCAAGGGCAAGTTCGACCTCCTCGTGCGTGGCACAGCAGCTGCCGCCCCCTAGTGGCGGGAATCCTCCCAGGCAAGGCACTGGTTCCCTTGCAGCAGCAGCAGCCAAGATGCCACGGAGTGGGTTGCACAGTCTTGTCTCTCTAACATCAAAAGAAAAACACACAACTCTACCTGGCTTTTGTATTTTTTACTCCAAGCAGCCAAAAGGTCCTGGTAGGAAGTTCGGTCAAAGTGCTCCCCTTGGAGACCAGTGGGCCGCCCTTTGCTGGGTGTGCTGCAGCAGAGGCCGGAGAGGCGCTTGTGATGGGCATTGAGCTAAGACTCGCGGTCCACATCTTCCACAGCCACCTTCTGGGTGCTAGCCAAGGCCCAGGGCTTGTCTGTCTGCCTCCCTCCCCTCCTGCAGAGGAAGAAGCGCCCTGCTCCCAGGACAATATTCCTTCCTCCCTGGCTCAGCTCCTCCGATTATAATCTTGCGCATGCAGAGAGGAGGGGTGGATTTGCCCAACATGGTGTGCCAGGGTTGGCAGTTTCCAGACCAGCTACCAGGTCAAGGCACAGCATGGTTCTCTATAGAGGGCATGTGGAACAAAGCAGGGATCCCACGCAGTTCTCGCATCCCCCGCATACACTGTACCATGGGCAAGCGTGCACACTTGAAACGTGTGCCAAGCTGCAGTGAGGCAGCATCCCCAGTGTAGCAAACAGGGAGTCCAGAGGCATGGAATTGGTAGCCAAATGGAGGAAGGGGGACCACAGGGAAGGGAATGGCTGCACTGCTGACTTCCCGTCTCTAAGCACTGGCTACCATCGTCAATCTTTCGCTCTAAGAGGAGCACACCTGGGAATTGGCAAGGGCAGGTGGCACAGCCTTTAACCTGGGACTGCCGTCAAACATGGCCAATGCTGCTCCCACCACCTCCACCTGAGAGTGCCGGGGGCTGGGCGGCAAGGCTAAAGCCGGCTCCGCTTGCAGCTCACCCGCTGCTGCAGCCATCGCATTAATCCGTAGCGCGGCTGGTTTGGAAGGAGTGAGCAATGAGAACGCAGCCCATTGTGGTACCTACTCTTTGAGGATCCAGCCCTCCGGGACTCGAGTGCTGCTGGCTGACAGTGCTGGAGGCAAAACGTGGCAACTGGGAAACCAAAGGCAGAGGCACGTGGCATGGGAGAACATTGCAAGAGCATAAAAGCGAAGCTGAAGGCCTACGGGCCCCAGTGGCTGGACATGCTCCGTAGCACCTGTGCGGAGGCTCAGCGGAAGAGAAGGGGAAGGGAGATCCCCAAAGAAGGTCGGGCAGCCCTCTTGCCCTGCCCAGCGTGCAGCACCATGTTCTAGGCCTGGGTTGCCCCTGCTATAGTTCTCTGCCTTAACCCCATAGAGGTCTGGGGTTGGACTCCTGCTGCCTTGCCAGAGCAAGGTGCCCCTCAAAAGCCCCGCCATGGCCAGCCTTTTAACATTCCTGGTTTGCTTGGAAGAGTGAAACTGAAGGCCTGGGAAGCACAATGGGAGTGTGAGCCGGGCCAGGCTACTCCATCCCTCCCCCTGGAGCAGCTTCTGTGGAGCCCCTGGGAGAGCCACGGCGTGGGCAGGGGGGCTCCAGATCCAAGGCCTAACCCTAGGGTAACAGCACAACTGAGGCTCCCTGGGGCTGAATTGGCCAAGAGGCTCTCAGGGGCTTTCTGGAAGGGCCCCGCTTGGACAGGAGGGAAAGGAAGCGGGTCCCCAACTAGTGGTCCCGCAGGGCCCACTCCTCCAGCCTTGGCCTCAAAGGCCCAGGCGTGCATCCCACAGGCCTGCCTTCTGTTGCCGAGGTGGGTGGAAGCCGGTTGAAGGTGTTCCGGCCTGAGAAGAGTGTTTTCCGGTCCATTTGGCAGGAGTCCCCTGCTCCTTTGGAGCTCCAACTGACCAGCTGCAGGACTGCACTCTCCTGTCTGGCCAGGGGATTCTGTGCCTCCGCCACCATTTTGGACGGCTGGACTGGCACAGCCGGTGTCTTCTCACTTTCGGCCACTTGGACCTGGGGACATCAGCTCATGGCTGGGAGACTGGGCCTTGCAAAAGGCTGATCCTCCTGGCCACAAAGGCCTTATGTGCAGCTCCGCCCCCATCGTGTGCAAGCACCTCTTCTGGGGAAATGCCATATCCTGGCTTTTAAAAAGCTTTTTCCCGTTGCGAGGCCCACAATCCTCCGGTGGAAACCCGTGCAGAGCCCGGCTGTGGTTTCTCCCCGCCCTGCAAAGGGGCAGCGGTGGCTGGGCAAGGAGTGGGCCCTCCCGGTTCAGGCTCACCGTGTGCGCAGCTGCCTTCCCCAGTCAGGCTCAGCAGAGAACCAGCAGCTGCCCACGTTGCTTTCTGTGGTGGCGGTGGCCACCTGACTGGCCTTGTGGAGAAAGGGAGGCTGCGGGGACAGCGGGTCCCTTCTCGGCAGGTTGCCTACTTCCTGCCCCAAGGATGAGAGCAAAGCCCTTTCCCTGCCAAGAGGATGAGCCTGCAGGCCTTGCTCCTCTTGCGCGGGCAGCAAATTCTGCTGTTCCTTGGTCCAGGCTTCCGTGGATGGCTCTTGTGAGGAACGCCTCTGCAGCCAAGTTCCCCTTCACACAAGCTATTGCTTCCCTCTTAGCCTTTCCAATGGGCCCTATTTCCCCTAGGAGAGGCACAGCCCCCTCACGATTCCAGCTGCTCTTCCGGCCCTTTTCTCAAACCTACCTTCCAAGACTGGCCCCAAGGCAGGATCAGGAGGGCAGGCCTGGTTTTAACTTTCCTCAGGATCCCACGCAGGCTGTTGCTTTTATACATGCTGGGTGGAGACGTTCTTTGCCCTCTCCACTAGACCCCAGTCTGCCAAGATCCCTCCAGTGGCTCTGGAAAGCCTTTGTGCCACTGACTTCTTCTTTGGAAGATTGACACGCCACCTTTCCTCCAGGAGCTCAGGCTGGCACGCGCAGCCTTCCTTGCTATTTCTCCCCACAACCACCACCCTGGGTTGAGAGAAAGCGGCAGGCCCCCGGTGGCCTCCAAGGCCTGGCGGAACTTCTAGCCCGGACTTTTCGGGCCTAGGGCACCATCCAAACCCCAATGCCCCCCCGCTCCGACGGCAGCGCATCTCTCCCCTGTGCACCAAAGCAAAATCCCTCCCTTAGAAATTGAAGCAGGGGCTATGTATCTATTTTGTTATGCATCAAATTTATATGGCCGCCCACCTCACAAGAAGTGACGCTGGGTGGGATACAGCAAAGATAAAACAATAAACATGTCAAAAAACAGTCACTATTAAAAAGTTAAAAAGCATAAGGCACACAAGAGATTAGATTAGCAAGGGAGCCACCTCAAGTTCTCACCGGTCCCCTGAGCCCTGCAGGCCTTGAGAGACTTCTGGAAAATAAGGCGGGATGGAGCTGACTTCACTTCGGGGGGAGAATGGCAGAGAAGGCCTGCCTCTTCGGGCCCACCAAGTGTAGTTCCTTGACAGACGGGACCCACAGCGTGCTTTCTCTGCCAGATCTGATGGGACGGGCAAATGTAATCAGGGAGAGGCTATCCCTCAAATAATCCCGCCCCAAGCCATGAAGGGCTTTAAAGGTCAACACCAGCCCCTTGGATTGGACCCAGAAGCAGACTGGCAACCAATGCAGCTCGTGGAGCAGAGGGGTAACGTGCAATTCTTGAGGCACACATCACTGCCCGTGCCGCTGCATTCTGCACCAGCTGAAGCTTCTGGATACTCTTCAAGGGCAGCCCCACGTAGAGCGCATTACAGTAATCCAATCAGGAGGTAACTAGGGCATGAGTGACCATGAGCAGAGCCCTCCGATCCAGGAACAAGTGCAACGGACACACAACACAAACTTGCGCAAAGGCCTTCCTAATCATGACTGCCACCTGCTCTTCGAGCAGGAGTTATGAGTCCAGGAGGACCCCCAGATTGCATGCTGGGTCTGTTTGGGGCAGGGCAACCCCACTCAGCACCAAAGATGGCAAAGTCCTGAGCTGGAGGGGCCCAAACCCCAGAGCCACTCAGTCTTGCCAGGGTTCAGCTGAAGCCTCTTGCTCCCTGTCCAGACCCCCACGGCCTCCAGGTACCGGGTGGACATCAACAGCATTGCTTAATTAGCCAGGGGCAAAGATGCATAGTTAGTATCATCTGCATACTGATGATACCTCACCCCGTGGAAACGGATGAGCTCGCCCAGTGGCCTCACATAGATGTTGAGTAGGAGGGGGGAGAGCACCAAACCCTGCGGCACCCCACATAGTAGGGGCCGAGGGTGGGATCTCTCCTGCTCGACCACCACTGACTGGCGCCGGCCCGGAGAAAGGAGGCAAACCAGCACAACACAGTGCCCCCCACCCCCAGGCCTCTGGGCCGATCCAGGATACCACGGTGGGTGGGTGAGTGGAATGGTGCAGCAAGAGTCTGCGGCAGGCTAGCTCAAGAGACGGTCTGAGCCATCAACCGTGCATCGCCCGTGCTTCGGGGCAGGGGGTGGGGACCCCAACCATTCCCCACGCCATTCTTCAGGGAAGCCTGTGGTGGGCTGTTGCGCTGAAGCAGGTGATCCGGGATGCAGTCTCCCCAAGGCAGTCTAGGAGACTGCGAAGGGGGTCTCCAACCTGAACCCTCAGACCCATTTATGTTTGATCCAGGATGAGCACTGGCCTGGCGTGTGCTGCAGGCTTGGCCGGGGGCAGGGGGTCAGCCTCTCAGGCCCTGAGATGCGGCAGGTCAGTGCTGAGGGAGTGAGGCTGACACGGCGGTCTGGAGGGAGTCTGTCTCGCTGACTGGGCGTTTCTTCTTGGGGTGGCCGGCTGGCCCGGTTGCTACTGCTCTGGGTGGCTGAGGCAGTATTGGGGTACTGTCCAGCTTCTGCCCGACTGTCCTGCGGAGCTCTCCGGCGTGGCACCGGACTACTCCCCTCCACCTGTTGTCTTGGGGACGTTGGCGCCCACGGTGAGGACCGGTCCCAGCTGCCGTCCGGCGGCCCGCA